ATTGATAAAACGTCCGTTTTGCAAACTCAATTTGCAAGTTCATAGACCTTGACTTTAACACTTACTTCGATCAAACCTGCTTATAATGATTATTTAATAATTGATAAAGCGTTCGTTAATTATATTTTACAAACAGCTTTGTAGATCTCAACTTTAACACTTACTTCATCAAACCTGCCTATATAATTATTGAATAATAAAACGTTCATTTTGGAAAACTTGGATTGCAAATATATCTTGACTTTAGCACTTATTTTGATTGAACCTGCCTATATTTGAATAAATGATAAAACATTAAATATGTTTTGCAAACAACTTTGCAGATCTTGCCTTTAACACTACTTTGATTGCACCTATACAAACTATTGAATAGTTGACAAACGTTCCGTAATTTTTATTGTAATTAAAAAAAAAAAAAATTCAAATAATTCAATAGAATAAAATTTGCCCAATGAAATTTTGTAAACTGTATATATTCCATGCACAACTTCAAATATAAGGCTCACTTTTCCATTATTGGTACTTGTCTCGGGGTAAGACATGCAATGGCGAGCCCATGTGGCTCGCTTAAATGGACATGACCTCTCTCTTTTTATTGTTTATTTTATTTAGAAGGAAACATTTTAAAGAAAAAGGAAAGGAGAGATAAAATTCGTTAATTGATTTGATTGGTTACATTTGCAAGATGGCATTGTTATTATAGCAACAAGTGGCAAACAACAATGAATCATCATTTTTTGAGGATGACAATAAAGATTAAGATCCGATTTTGTTTCATGAAAATACTCAAGTTTTTCAAAAAATGACTGTCCTATTTATATGTTTTGGATTTACAAAATTTACTGTGTCTTGGCCCGAGTGATGTCATTTTTTTACTCTTTGCGACGAAGAAGATGCAATCCCAAACCCAACTTAAAATAAATGAATTTTTGTTCTCAAAACCATAAGCTCGCATTACGTTCCCAGTTGTAAGCTTGTTTTATAATAGAAATTATTTGAAATTTTAGTCTCAAGATTAGATTAAAGTTATTATCCAAAATAAAACTTGAAAATATAAGGAATGGAGATTAAGCAGAACGTGAGGGGAGAATAGTGGTTAAGATGAAGGAAAGAATAACGAGAAAGGGAGAAATTACATTCCTTCATTTTATTAATAAACAATTTCTATCTTCTAAAACTGCCACAACATATAAATAGGGTGCATACTTTATAAAGCGGCATTAATAGATTTTTGGACAGGATTAGAAATAAGTCGAAAGGCAGAAATTGCTTCGATACAAAGAGATGTTTCATTCATCACTAGGACAATAACTCCAAGATGGTATAGCAAATATGAATAATAATATTCAAAATGATATTAATACATGTAAAGATGAAGCAAGATTTCAAGAGAATAGAATGGCGATAGATATTCAATAATAATTTATTATTGCATCTGGCGATATAAGGTTTGAGTGCGTAACCCTAATGATATAATTGACCAAACTACTAGTCATATGTTGAGTCAAGTCATTCGTTACTAAATTATGGTTTTACCCTTTTTGAATAATATGTCGAGGCTTGTTAGCATAATTCATTAAAATTCCAATTCAACACCAATAATCACAAAAGTCCTATTTAATAAACTACCAGAGAAGTAATTCGAAAATAAAGAAGTAATTTAAATAAATTACATATTTTATTTATTTCATTATTTCGTTACAACTCGACAACAAAAAAAAATAACATTAGAAAGTACAGTTATAATATTAATATACAACTAGAAAAATATTTTATCATTCTAAATAGTGTAAAGGACTCAGCATACTCAAGTCTACTGAAAAGAAAGCATGAATAATATTACGCTTCACCATAATGGTGTGTTATTAGTCAATGACGAGTGTTGACCGCTTCCAGGTGTTTTAATGTTTATGAACTTCTTGTTGTCTTTGAGGAATGATCATCCCAAAATAGATGCATTAGAATATTTTTCAATCATAATTTATAAAATGGATGTTTTCATCATAATATTAACAATAATAAAAAAATTTTTGTATGTT